ATGGTGACTAACGTAACCGTAACGTTAACTTAAGTGAAGGTCAGAGCTTACCTTAACGTTAGTCATTTCACCTTTACTTCAGTCTTGTACTGAAACAGAAAATGCAGTTAACAAGAAGTTAATTAAAGAAAATTCCCTTTCTTTTTTCAGGAACTAACGTTAACGTTATGCTAATAACGTTACCTCAGAAAACACTACAATCACCATCTGGCGTTGTTTTAAAAAAAAGGCGCGCTTAAACCCTGTACGTGCGAGTACAACTAAAGTACTCGGTAAATTCCTGTTAAATGACATGCACTATACAGAAATACACATACAACAATCATTTAACGGACAAAAATCATATTTTAACACTTACCGAGGATGAATCCGTTGGGTGAAGAGACGACGCAGGTGTTGTCTGTGGTGATGGCGCTTGTTTGCGTTCGAGTCGAGTCAGTTCTGTTCAATGAATCGGCTCCTTTAAGTGAACAGTAAAGAGTCGAATTCGCTTGAAAACGATTCCGTTTTGTATAATATTGTAAGACGCAAACATATAATTCATTAATATTTCATCATATTGCTTGGTTCGTGTACTGCTTGTACACGAATTGCTTGTTGATGACTATGAGCTTATGAACACGTCTGATAAAATATCTGAATCTGATTCAATGTCACACGAGTCCTGAACCGAAGCAGTGCAAAAGTAATATATTGATTGAAATATAAAGTTAATTATTTTCTTCGCCATTCAAAATATTACATATCTCTTCAACAATAAGAATAAAGTTCGTTTGGAGTGTATTGAGAATTATTATTTTTTCCTCCCAGGATTCATTTCGCACCAAGCTGCATCAAGCTGTAATGGTGGATGAGAAGGCACATACTATTATAAATATTGCTTGTAATATGTAATGAAATAAAGTTTTAACACTTTTTCATGCGAGAATGTAGTTATTCAAAACTCAAATCTGTGGATTGTTAGTAAAGATTGTGTGTAATTTTAAGTGTGTTTTGCCGGCAGCGGAGATCTATGACCTCCAGGCGTTAACGGCGCTCATTACTCATGTATCCGCCGAGAGGCGCCTGTCTTCAGGCTAGACATTGGGACAATTGCCCCGTCTTCGATGGCTCTATATGCGTCCGAAAATGAAGTTTTAACTGTTTTTCATGCTAGAATGTAGTTGTTTAAAACTCTAATCTGTGGTTTATTCATATAGATAAAAAAATAATAACTTATATATATATTTAATTCTGAGATTAGTGACCTCCAGGCGATGACAGGTGCCCAATACTCATGAAACCGTCTAAAGCAGACATTTACCCTGACATTGAAATAATTGTTGGCTGTTTAACAGCCTTTGGTTTCATTAATTAATTACTTTTTATTCCAGTTTATTATGTTTTGGCTAAGCACACAGTTGTTCATTAAATATTATTTCCTATTCTATGTTAACTGTATAAAATTAAATAAAGGTGCAGTACAACCAAAAAGATGTTGGTAACCAAATCGTTTTGGGGGCTATAACATTCTGTTATTACCTGTTAAAAGTTCATTTGTATTAATTTCTACGTTGAGTTAAATAAAGGTTTGAATTTCTATAACTAACGTGCAAAAGATATAGCCCTTTTCACAGTAATTTGCTGTAATCATGCTACCTGCCGTAATTTCACAATAAAATTATGAATACAACATATTACTGTGAATTTTTCAGTTAAATACTGTGAAGGGATACTAATGTAATTTACTGTGAAAAATTACAGTAACTTGTTGTGAAAACCTGGAAATTTTTTACAGTGTATGTATGTATGGCATCAAGTTAGGAATCATGCAGTCACAGAACAAACAATAGCAGGTTTCTTGATCACTCTTGATCAAGAGTTTTATCTTGCAGTACAAACCTGCCTCTTTAAATCTTTACTAGCCACATACTAGCAACTAATAATTCAGCCCCAGAATAAAGATATTGTGTCAAACTTCTTAGTAGGGTGCTTTTACAAACGTCTGTTTCATGTGTTTTGGCTGAAAATACAAAGTTTTGAAAATTTGTTTTGAAGAGCACGTGTTAATGCAAATTGTAGAAGCGTAATTTTGTCAGAGCATACAAAAGTGGTCTGACTGACCAATAATTGCAATGATGTTTTTGTATTAGTATAGCTCTGTCCTGTAAGAATAATTTTACAGTTTTAATACAATAATATTAATAATGTCAATCTCAATTTTATTTATATAGCACTATTATACACATCCAAAGATTGAGCAATGTGCTGAACAATACAAATCACAAAGAAAAAGTATAAAATTATAGCTAAAAAAAACAATTCTCACTGATGGTTATTATAGATAAAAACAAACATTTCTTACTGATACAATGCCAAATCAAAAAGGTAAGTTTTCAACCTACATTAAAAAACAGATATGATATAGACCTAATACAGATGTAAAAATATGTATATAGTTACATTTAAAATGTACATATTGGCGGCACGGTGGCTCAGTGGTTAGCACTGTTACCTCAAAGCAATTAAGTCCCTGGTTTTGGTCTTAGCTGGGTCAGTTGGCATTTCTTTGCGGAGTTTGCATGTTTTCCCCGAGTCCGTGTGGGTTTCCTCCGGGTGCTCCAGTTTCCCCCACATAATTCAATAAACTAACTTGTCCATAGTGGGTGTGATTCAGTTTGTATGGGTGTTTCTATATACTGGGTTGCAGCTAGAAGGGTATCCACTGCATAAAACATATGCTGGAATAGTTGGCAGTTCATTCTGCTTTGGCATCTTCTGAAATAGCCGAAGGAAAATGAATGAATGGATGAAAAGATTGTAATATATTTGCTATATTATCAAATTTAATTAATGTAATATCATTGATTGATTGTATATTATATATTAAAGTATCATGACAGTTTAAAGAAGTGGTATTATTGATTGAATTAGTTTAATTAGTTTAATTAATATAATTATCATTATATAATAATGAATTTCTGAAATACTCTGAAATATTTTTTTTTTTAAATACTCTTGCAAAGGCTAAATAAATAAATAATTGAATGACCAAATAAATGATTGAACAAACAAACAAATAAACATACAAATTTCTGACTCTAGTTTTCACCAATAATTCGGCATAATTGTTTGCTATAAAACTCTCACAATCCATTAATTGTTACAATCCACATTTCACTCCTCAAGCAAATCTAAAGATGCACTAACCATCATTTTAACCATCATTTTTAAATGTAAAGTGAAATGAGCCATGTGCTTCCGTTTCTCCTGTTTTTAAAGGTGTGGTAAGGTCAGTTAATGGATATGCACATGTTAATGTAACTCATGGTGTTTAATGCAGATTACAGGCCAAGAAGAGCCCATATATCATGTTAAAGTGATTGAGGAATGTAAAGGCCGTAAAAATGACCTGCCGGTGAAGGTTGGAGACACCGTGAACATCATACGAACTGAAAACTGTCCTAAAGGGAAATGGCTTGCCAAGGACAGCAACAATACATGTGAGTTGAACACCACAAATCTACAATCTACAACACCAATTCTAAAAAAATGTGGGATGTTTTATAAAATGTGATCTGATCTGATTAATTTGATTTGTTAAACATTTATTTATTGGCAAAAGTATAAAAATAAAATGTTTTCACTGGCAAACTTAAAACGTTAGTTCACCAAAAATAAAAACAAATATCTGTTATTAATTATTCACCCTTGTAACATTCTAATACCCTGAGACCTTCTTTCATCTTCAGGACACAAATTACAATATTTTAGGTGAAACCCGAGAGCTCTCCTATCCTCCAGATACAGCAATGGCCATAGACTGACAAAGACATACAGTCTTTGAAAATCCTGGAGACCAAGGGTGGGGAGGTTATGTTGGGTGGGGTAAGATGTGTGTTGGGGGGGTGAGATATTATGGGTTTTTCCAGGAGAAATAACAAAATGGGAGGGTGGCGGGAGATGGGTCTGAAATAAGGGAGACTCCTGGAAAAAACCTGTTGACAGGTATGGCAATAGCCTAAGAGGCTCAATGTCCAGAAAAGAAGCCAGAAATATTGTGAAAACATTTCATGTGACTTCAAAGGTTCAACTGTAATCATATGAAGCCCCCAGAACACTTCTGTGCACAAAAAAACATGTATAAACTTTGTTTATCTTTTATACCTATATCAGATTATGGTGCACATTTACTGTGGACAATAGATATTAGCATAGATATTATTCTATCCAAATATCAAATTAAATGTATGCGCAAAATTTTAACAAGGCATAAAGCATTTGCAAATAAAGCACTGTTTTTAATTAGTGCACATGTGTCAAATTATTTGGCAGTAGTTTATCAGGAAGTGACCATTTCTCTTTAACTCACTGGATCAGATGTGTCAAACTCAGTTCCTGCAGAGAAACTGCTGCCAAATATCAAAAAGAAAAGTATAATGCTGAAAAATTTGGCAGGTTTCATTTAAATGTTCAACATTTTTATTTTAATTTAAACATTTTTTTTTTATTGTAGTTTTTTTTTATTGGGCCCTAATGGCCCAGTATATTAACGGACAGAATATTCAGTGAGTGTTACTGTGGTCGTTGTGTGTCCTTTGAGAAACCTGGTCAAATTTGCCCACTGGCCTCTGTCCATCCCAATATCATAATTGGCTTCATCACTCCGTCTCTTCTTCATCAATCAGCTGGTGTGCGGTCTGGCACAATATGGCTGCTAACTCGTCATCCAGGTGGATGCTGCACACTTGTGGTGGTTGAGGAGATTTCCCCTCCCCCCCCCCCCCCTCAAAATGGCTATAAAGCTCTTTGAATGTCCAGAAAAGCGCTTCAAAAATGTAGGGAATTATTATTGACTAAGAAAGTTTAAAAGTGTTCTTGGAGCTTCTCATGGTTACAGGTGATTCAGCCAAGTCACATGGAATGATTTAACAGTGATTTTCAAGCTTGATTTTAATCTAAAATGTCTGAATTTGTGTTCTGAAAACAAACAAAAGTCTCGGGGATCAGATCAACATGAGGTTGAGTATTTAATAACAGAATTTTAATTATTTTAAAGTTAGGAAAGAGACAAGTTTCACAGTTATATATTAACTTTTAAATCACAATGTTTAATTTTTTGCGAACTGTGCATGCTAATTCTTAAAGGTTCACAAAACCCTCGAGTACTTTTTTTGAGATTTTACCAGATTTGTGTGTGTTGAGCATCAGTTAAGACAATGTTAGCACCTGTTAGCTTTAATTGTGGGAAAAACTGGATAATTTTGAGCTTTTGTCAGCTAATTTCAGCTTCAAGGTTTCAAAATGATTTTTGATGCAGATCAGAATCAGTGACGTAGCGCAAAACTGCCAGTGGAAAGATGACTCGTTGGTTTCATAGTATTATTCATAGCGGAGTTTTCTTATCCTATGAGAAGCCGGCTTCTTAATTATTCATGACTGCACAGGCTTTCCGAAGGCAAGGCAGACCTGCCAGTGCCAAGCTGTGAGACACGGACCCACGGCACACAGTATTAGCAGTTCATGAAGGGTTGGATGTGTTTGTTTCCATGATCCACGTGGTTTGTTGCATGTTTGTCAGGGCCGATACAGCAAAGCTGTTTGTGTGCAGCAAGCATTTTTGTGAGGAGAGCAGTACGTATGGCGTATGGCGGAGAATGGTGAACGTTGTTCTTTATCAGGAGTTTGTTCACATTTAGACACATCGCCATGATGCTGTGTTTGCCTAAATCGAACGGCTAATGGCTAAAATAGACAGGGCAAGAGATCTGCTGCACTGAGTCTGCATTCAGACCCGAGGATTGAGGGAAAAGTCCTCATTTATAGTGTTTATATGAACACGATTATCTTTATAATGACATAAATTGTGGTTATCTGTATATGAAATTACAAATGAAGCAGGTCATCATATTACTTTTTATTTCTTTGCATTTTAACTTTGTAAACAATACAATAATGCGTCTCCTCACGGTTTGTCTCATTTTGTGAGCCGACTGACAACAGTTGTTTGCTCCCCTCCTTCTCCCCTGTTGGCCACGCCCACTCCTGCCCTTTGCTCACGGAGCTCCACGCCCACTATGATGTATCTATTGAAAAAATTCTGAGGTAGACCTGAACCAAAAGCGGGGGGTGTTATGACCCTTTAAAGCTTTATGAGCTAATTTTCTGACACCATATAAGATTTCAGCGGCTCACCAGTCCGTGGTAATCACTGTCATATATTTTCTTGATTTTTATTGCACTTTACAAAGCCTCTCAACTTTTTTTGGAATTGCGGCTGTAGATATTCAAAACATATTCATTTATCTCATTCATATCAGCTCTTGCGAGTCACAAATAATTAGCATCACGCTAAGTGAGTACTGCAGATAAATGGGGTGCAGAAAATAAGCATTGTTATGAGTTTACCTTGATAAGGGCGAAATGTCTAAACAGATCTGTCACCGCGCAAGGACCCGAACGAGTCCTTGAGCTCCGATTTATCTCTGAGGCTGTGTATGTAAGAGCTTATCTCAGTTTTCAGATGTTTCTGCTGGAATGCAGATTGGCATTGTTGTTGTATTTTCAGATGGTTACATCCCGGTGGAGTGTGTGGATTTGAACATCAATGGCATTATGGAGTTGGGGAAGAAGACAACAGTGTCTAACAGACCTAACGGCAATGAGCACAAAGACACAGAAGCCCACAGTACAAACAGCAGGTACGGTATTTATTGACAAGTATACAATAAGAGTAATTTTAAATGCTGTGGTGACATCGGATGGTAATAACATTCATATACATTTTTTTTCATGTGTTTCAGGAGCTCAGAGCATTACAACTTGAACCATGAGAGCTGTAAGCATGTTCTTTTAATTTTTTTTTTTTTTTTTTATGTTTGACACTATTCTAATGAGGCTCAACCATAAGCAACAATGCTGATAATTTTGCTGCTGTGGCCTGATGCAACTGACTCTTAAAGGAGTGGGAGATGAGACTCTGATTGGTTAATTCTCAAAACACACCTGTAACTCATTAAGAAAATAAGCTCAACCCTTTTGGACCATGTGCCACGCCGTAAAGTGGATTTTCCCGTCCTTATATCAGCAAAAGTAGATTCTGACATGCCCTTAATGCGTTTGCAGCCTGCACTTTGCACATGGCTCCTCAAAATAGAGCCCAATGTGTGAAAGCACCCTAAAAAGCTCAAGATTGGGTCCATAGTCCACCTTAAATAGAGATCAGATGTGGCTGCCACATGGCCGTGAAAATATAAATCTTAGCCTAACAGAGTAAAAATTTTAATTAGTTAATTAATTTTAAAATATCAACCTGAAAACATTTGATCGATTATAAGTTCTTAATGTCAATTTTTATTCCTTTCATTTTTTGATTAATTGCCCAGCCCTACTGTAAAAGCTAAAACAAAACGTTCTTATGTCTCAAACATTATAACTATGAGATTAATTAGGGTAAAAATAGATCTAGAATTGTGTTCATAACAATGTCTTTTTTTATATAATTTTGAATTTGTATCATAATTGTATAAATATATTTAAAAAGTAGGTTTGCTGCTCTATATAATAATTATTTGTACATATTTAATAATACATATTGTTACTGTCTTTTCTCAGTCTCAGAAGACAGCGAGGAGTGGACATGTGAAGATGATGACCCAGCGTTTGGCACTCCCGATGAAACTGCACATGTGTAAGCATTAAACTCGTGTGTATGTTATGAGTGTGTGTACTTATATGTGCTGAGTAACAAAGCTTGATTGTTCAGTTATTGTATTGTTTACAAGGGGTGTATGTTGAATATTTTTCAGAGAGCCGAATCAGTCACAGGCCACACCAGCTCAAGGTGAGTCACAGATGAGACATGAGCCAAAAATATGCAGAGCAAAGAAAAGTCAACACCAAGAAATTCTTTATTAATTACAATAGCAATGGTGTGTCATTCTCTTGGTCATATTCATATTTATAGAAGCCCATTTCTACCAAAGTAAACGTTAATATAATATAGACTATTTTAAGGTATATAAACAATAACAATGGCCCCAGCGTATTTCCTGTTTTACATTTTTAATTTCTATAGCTTTCGAGAATCCAAAAAGAACCATATATTGATAAATAATGTTATGATAGCTGTTTTGACATTAGGTTTTAATTAAATTGCCTCTTGTTAAAGATATGAAATAGTTTGATAACAAGCAGGATGTTCACGGGCCAATGACATCACCACATTGAAATGGTCAATAGTAATATATTGTAAATATGGTATTAAAATGTTTTAAATGACAAAGTTATGAATAAAACTGATATAAAACGCAAAAGTTGATTGTCATAAATCATTAAAAATTTATGGAATAGATAGTTGAAATTATAAAAAAAATGTTTACAAATTGTACATAAAAGCATAAGCATCATATTTATGACATAGGTCAAAATGAAGACAACACTTCAAACTATCAGTTAGACCAGTGGTTCTCAAAGTGGGGGTCGGGACCCCCTGAGGGGTCGCGGGGCAATGAAGGGGGGTCGCCTGGTGATTTCCAAAAATCTATTTATTTTTATTAAACCATAAAAATTAACATATTTTATCCATAACTATACTGAAAATAAAAATAGTCGTTTATAGTTACTATATACTATATAGTTACTATAGTACCTTATAGTTACTAGTTCTATTGGATTGCGCCCCTGGGGTAATTACATTATATTAAAGGCAGCAATAGCGTCAGATGCATTTTGATTTTATAACATCAGGTTATACTTTCTGGCACATTTAAACCACTGACACAAATTTAATTGGTGTGTCTGCGTCATTGCATGCAAGGTTTCTGTATTTATAACCACCTCAGAGGATATTGGGGTCGCGAGTCACTGCCATTGTTATTTTGGGGGTCGCGGGCTGAAAAGTTTGGGAACCCCTGAGTTAGACCATCAATATGTCCAAAAATCTAAATTATATAGTAGGTAATAATAATAATAATTAAAAAATAATAATATTTAAGGCAATATCATTTTTAAATAATCTAAAATGAACGTTTTTGTCGCATCTTATGATTTTGAATATTTAGCTCATAATTATGACTTTGTGTCAAATATGGCTTTTCATCTCATTTTGACATGTCATACTTTTGGCTTTATCTCATAATTATGGTTTAATGTCTACATCACTTTGATAGCCTATTTCTAAGTTTACTGGTTATCTCATTTTGACATCAAAAATGTGTCTTTTATATTGTAATTAGGATTTTCAGTTTTGTATTATGACTTATCATGATTTTCATTGTCTATGTCAAAATTATGATATTAATATTGCTTCTCAGAGTTTGTACTTTAAAGAAATTTAATGTAAAAATCCTAAAATCTGTCTATATCATAATTATGACCTATTGTCTATGTTTGATTTCATTGTCTATGCTGATGTTTCATTATTATGACTTAGTATCTCATAATTATTTTTTTCTTATAATTAATGTGACTTTACCTCATAATTATTTATGTCTCTTAATTGTAACCTTATGTATCATATTTATGACTAAGACTTTGATTATCTCATAATCATGATACTTGGTATTTTGTCATTTAACCACATGTCAGATATTAGAATTTATGTCACATAATTGTAACTAATAATAAAAATAATAATATCTTGTCATTTTAATTGTCTATCTCACAATTATGGCTTAGTATCTATTTTTTTCTTTCTTTTTATCTCATTATTATAACTGTCTCGTAATTATGATATGTATCTCAGTTATGACCAAGACTGTGATTATTTCATAATCATGATACCTGGTATTTTGTAATGTGACTACATGTTAGATTATCTAATTATTTTTTATCTCATTATAACTGTCTCATAATTATGACCTTTATTTCATATTTATGACTACGATTTTAATTATTTCATAATTATGGTACTTGGCATTTTTTTATTTAACTATATGTCAGAAAAGGCGACGCAGTGGTGCCGTAGGTAGTGCTGTCGCCTCACAGCAAAAAGATCACTTGTTTGAGCCTTGGCTGGGTCAGTTGGCATTTCTGTGTGGAGTTTGCATGTTCTCCCCGCGATTGCATGGGTTTCCTTCAGGTGCTACGATTTCCCCCACAGTCCAAAGACATTTTATCTCATTATTATAACTTGATATATTATATTATATTATAATATATTATAATAGTCTCATATTTAAAACCTTTAACTCAAAGTTATGACCAAGGCTGTGATTATGTCATAATCATGGTATGTGGGATTTTTAGAATTTGACTATATGTCAGATATTAAATTGATATCTCATAATTATAACTAATGATAATTCTAATATCTAGTCAATTTGATGGCCTATCTCATAATTATGCCTTATTATCATGTTTTTTTTATCCCATTATTTTAACTGTCTCATAGTTATGACCTTTATCTCATATTTATGACAAAGACTTTGATTATGTCATAATTATGGTACTTGCCGTTTAATAATTTGGCATACTAGTCATTTGACATTTTATCTCATAATTGCAACTAATCATTAATAGTATCTAACCATTTTGATTGTTTCACTCAAAAATGATTGACCTATAACATGTTTACTGTCCTTCTCATAATTTTGGGATTCTATCTTAATTTGATCTGGTTTTAATTGTGACCTTATTTATTTATCTTTAATTTATCTATTAATCTTATAGTTTAATAATATGGTTTAATAATTGATCTCATAATTCTGACACAGTATCTCATATTCTCAATGTTTTACATCACAAATGTGATTCCATAAATTTTTTGTCATTCTTCATACCAAATTCCTCATCTATTCATGAATCTCTTTCTTTTTTCAGATGTTGTCGATAAACCCCAAATTTACTCAACTTACAACGTACAGTAAGTTCAATAGTCTTCTTTTAAATTAACCAAGCAAGGTTACTCTCTTTGAAATGATAGTATATAAAATAATTTGTTTTATGCCAAGAACAGAAGAATAAATATTGGTTTATCATGTGTCACAGAGCGAAACATGAAGCCCTTCAGAAACTCTCTACATTCTTCATGCAACCCAAAACACCGTCTCAACCTCCACAGCAAAGGTTAGTACATCACCTCACTCACAAACCATGTTTGCATCCACCTATTCTTATGCACATTTTGGATTATCAAACAGAAAATGCATAATAAAAACATCAAGATGTGTACAATTTTTGAAAATGCTCATTAAAAAATACATAAATATCCGAGTAGAAAAAAAAATGTTTTATCTAAAAAAAAAAAATAAAAAAAAACAATGTCTAAAAAATTTGATGGGACACATTAACCGCTAAATACTGTGTGCCGTGGGTCCGTGTCTCACAGCTTGGCACTGGTAGGTCTGCTTTGCCTTTGCAAAGCATGTGCTCTCATGAGTAATGAAGAGGCTGGCTCTTCTCATAGCTTAAAAAAACTCTGCTATGAATAACAATGAGAAACCGACACGTCATCTTTGCACTTGCAGTTTTGCGCTACGTCACCGATTTTGATCCCGCCTCAAAAATCATTTTAAACCCGGAGGCTGAAATTAGCTGACTAAATCTCAAAATTATCCATTTTTGTCCCTTAATTAAAGCTAACAGGTGCTAACATTGTCTTAACTGATGCTCAACACACACCCCTGCTAAAAAATCCAGCTTAAACCAGCCAAGGCTGGTTGGCTGGTTTTAGCTGGTTGACCAGCCTGGTTTAAGAGGGGTTTTGGCCATTTTCAGGCTGGTTTCCAGCCATTTCCAGCCTGGTCTTAGCTGGTCAGGCTGGAAAATGACCAGCCAAATCCAGCTAAAACCAGCTTGACCAGCCTGGTTTAAGCTGGATATAGCTGGTTTTGGCTGGACTCCCAGCTTAGCTAGGGTGGTCAAGCTGGTTTTAACTGGTCATCTCCCAGCCTGACCAGCTAAGACCAGGCTGGAAATGGCTGGAAACCAGCCTGGAAGTGGCCAAAACCCCTCTAAAACCAGCCTGGTCGACCAGCTAAAACCAGCCAACCAGTATAGCATGGGACAAATCTGGTAAAATCTCAAAAAAAGTACTTAAGGGTTTCGTGAACCTTTAAATATTTTCCAGTTGGCTAGATATTAATTAATAGGCATTCACACAACTTCACCAAAGCCTCTCTACTTGACGGTTGGTCTTGCGTGTCCGCTATGTTTGTCATTTATTTACGCTTTTTATAAACATTTGTAGTTCTAATCAAATTCACATCCAACGTGTAATGTGTTGTGAGCAATATTAGCGGTTACAGTATGGACACTTATACACTTCGAACTTTTACCAGAAAAGTAAACCATCCCAAAACCTTTGGCATACTCTTTTTTTAACATACTATGGTCTGGGACCCTTTCTATTTTCAGATACTATTTAGGATGAATAGTATGCAAATTGGGACGCAGCAACTGCTAATGTCTGTTTTCTCTCAATTCACTGATAAACATTTACAGCAAACGATTAGATTACAGGATACTAAGTCATCATGTTTTTTGTCTACTTCCTGTTTCCTTATATGGTACTTAGTGCTTCAAGAATGCCAGACCCAAAACCAGGTATGTTTTGACTCTTTAAAGCTTAATTACAAAACCTAAACACTCACATCTCACTCATTTTCTTTTTCTTTTTTTTTTTTAAGAGCATGAAGGGGATTCTGGCAGCTTGTAAGTATTCACAAAAACACAGACAGTCATTTATGAGATGCTTTCCTGAGCTGAGAATGTACCCAGACTGGTTTCTCGCGAATGTCTGAGATGTTTTTTATGAACGCATGTCTCATTCCATTAGCCGTTATGCTAGCACTGCTGATGACCTGGTGGTAATGCTACGTGCTAACAAATGTCATTGTATATTTCCGTCAGAGTTAACGAAGAGGAAGGAGGATTAGATACATCGGAACTCCAGATTCTGCCCCCTCCAGATCTGTATGCTGATTTAATCGCTGGAGATTCAGGGCCTGTTTTCACTAAGTATGTACTTTGGACACTTGTTGTCTATTTATGATGTGCAAAATGTCAATGCATCTAGTGATAAAGCATTATTTAGGATTTTTTTTTTTTCTGTTAAAATTAAACTGAACTGTTGGTTGGACTGCAAATCTCTGAATGATTAAATTAAGTATAAACTGTTTTTGAATTTTTAGGATTATTTATTTATTTATTTATTTATTTATTTATTTATTTATATATGTACGTATTTAAAAGTATAGTTCACAAAAAAAATGTACTTACTCACTATTTACTGACCTTCAAGTGGTTACACACTTTTATGAGTTTTATTTTCTCTTGTTGAGATTAAAAGGAATTTATTTTGAAGGATATATATATATATATTAGGGATGTAACAATATTGTAAATACCGTCATACCGCAATAGTAATTTTTTTCAATATTACCGTAGGCGCATGACTCAATAAAACTATATTTCTGAGAAAAGTTTGCTCAGGCGAATGAAGCGAACGGGAGGTAGCGGGAACTACAATTCCCATCAGCCCAGGCGTGGCCATCATCCTTTGCGGTCTGTTGTCACTACAGATCCAGTAATGCTGAAATGGAGTGTGCTGCTAGTAGCGGGGAAGTAAAAGAGCTGGAAATGATCGAACCTAAAGCGGGTTTAAAATCGGATGTGTGGAAGCATTTCGGTTACTTTTTAAAAGGATACGAAAAAGGGGAAAAGGTGACAAACAAAGAAAAAAAAAAGTATGCAGGCACTGCCAGACTGTGTTAAATATAAGTCGGGGAATACGACTAAAAACAGTCATGGGGACTGCAGAACACAGCACACTTGTTAGATTGAAGCAGACATTGACTTGTACAGCAAAGAGACCTCTATCTCACTCATGGCTTGTCCTCTCAAGTGGTGGAAAGACAATGCACAACGTTACCCACTTTTTTCTGTTGCAGGGGACATGCCCAGAGATACCAGCTTTTACCAGATTATAGTTATATGATAATTTTCCTTAAAAAACCCATCTCTATCTAAGTGAGTGAGTGATTAAATGTTGAATGTGATGAGTTTTCAACAATACTAAATTGAAACAATTTTTTTTATATGGTTTTATAGTTTTTTGTTATTAAAATTGAAAAATTGAAGTTCCTGTTTCGAAACTTTCAGATAGATGGTTAATTTGTATGTCATTGATATGTTCAGTGTTAAGGTAAATAAACACTTTTGGCACTTTTTTCGAGTCTTTTTATTAGTTTGTTTTTACTGTAAATTATTCAATAAATACCGCACCGTGCCATTCATACCGAGGTATTATCGTACCATTAAATTCTAATACCGTTACATCCCTAATATATATATATATATATATATATATATATATATATATATATATATATATATATATATATATATATATATATATATATATATATGTTCAAATGCTTGTTAACACAAATTTCTAATTAGTCCATCACATGGCAGCAAGACGATCTGCTGCAGTTCAAATTCAAGCATCAGAATGGAGAAGAAAGGTGATTTTGAATGTGGCATGGTTGTTGTTGCCAGACGGGCTGAGTATTTCAGAAACTGTTGATCTTCTAGGTTATTCACTCACAACCATCTCAAGGGTTTACAGATAATGGTCCAAAAAGAGAAAATATTCAATGTGCGGCAGTTTTGTGGGCACATATGCCGTGTTGACACCAGAGGTCAGAGGAGAATGGCCAGACTGGTTCCAGCTGATAGAAAGGCAACAGTAACTCAAATAACCACTTGTTACAACTGAGGTACGCAGAAGAGCATCTCTGAATGCACACGTCAAACCTTGAGGCAGATGGGCTAAAGCAGCAGAAGACCACACCGGCTGCCACTCCTGTCAGCTAAAAGCAAGAAACAGGCTACAATTCACACAAGCTCACCAAAATGGTGAGAATTTGGAGAATTTGGAGAAACGTTGCCTGCTCTGATGAGTCTGATTTCTGCTGCGACATTCAGATGGTAGGGTCAGAACTGGCATCAACAACATGAAAGCATGGATCTATTCTGCCTTGTATCAAAGGTTCGGGCTTGTGGTGGTGGTGTAATGTTGTGGGGGATATTTTCTTGGCACTCTTTGGACCCATTAGTACCAATTAGTACCATTAGTACCAATGTCAACAAGCATCGAGTCAACCCCACAGTCTACCTGAGTATTGTTGCTGACCATGACCATCCTTTTATGACCACAGTGTACCCATCTTCTGATGGCTACTTTCAGCATGATAACTCACCATTGAACCGTCTTGAACATGATAATGAGTTCACTGTTCTCAAATGGCCTCCACAGTCACCAGAAGTCAATCCAATAGAGCACATTTGGGATGTGGTAGAACAGGAGATTCACATCATGGATATGCAGCCAACTATTCGGCAGCAACTGTGTGATGCTTTCAAGTCAATATGGACCAAAAATCTCTGAGGAATATTTCCAGTACCTTGTTGAATCCATGCCACAATGGATTAATGCAGTTCTAAAGGCAAAGGGAGGTTTAATCTGGTAGTTGTAAAGTCTACCTATTATATTAGCTTTTGCTGCTAACATGCTCAAAAATAAAATGGAAAAATTATTACTATTTCTTTTTATTTATTTAGCTGCTGATTAAATATCATTACTGGCTTTAACAATCTTTACACTGGTCACTCCCAACCTCTAGCCTTTTTTCATTTATATCTTTATTGTTGCTACAATGATGTTTACTGACATTTTAGAGTGTGTGTTTGTCTATTCCAGGCCAATCAGACTCGTGCAGAAATAGCTGCGTGGCTGCTGAAGGGAGAGCCGTACTGCTGGATCTCTGAGTTCATAACCCTCCTGTGGGCTGAGTTTCAGTGAGAGCCACAGTAAATGTCAGCAAGAGACGCGTCTGTCAGCCGAGAACAGTTGTGTTTGGGATTGTGCATCTGCCTGGAAGAGGCTGCAGACGACTCCTATATTCATCTGCGTTACCTTCAGTTTGTGTCAAGACAGCCCTCGTGTGGAGATCATTTGGAGTTTTACATCGAAGCGTTGGTTCAGTTTCTATTGATAAAGAATCAGGAAAGACACTGCAGGTTAGTTGGGTAAAACTATTATCAGCGTTGACAGCATTCTTCATTTAATGCTTTAAGAATTGCAGATAGTTTTTGTATTACACTGTTTGTATATTGATGTTTTAATACGCAAATGAGCCATTGTTTCATTAAACATGTGCTAATTTGCATATATATCTAGCACAAGAATCTGAATATCGGATGAAGTCAGGCTTATTTTTATTATTATTATTAATATTATTTGTTTTATTATAATTTTTTGACATTAGCATTTTGGGTATCTATATATATAGCATTTTTAATCATAATTAACGTTACTTTCGCCATTTACAAATGCATTACTACAAGCCTAACTGTGCTGGTTAACATTAGTTAATGCACTGCACTGCAAGCTTCATTCAATAACGTTTATAAGCAGCAGATGATTAAACACTGTAACATGTATTTTTCATTGTACATGTCAGTAAATACATACAGTACTTTATAAATACATGACTACAACATTTAGTGCAGGGGTGGCCAACCCTGTTCCTGGAGAGTCACCTACCTGCAGATTTCAGTTGCTACCCATGTCAAACACACCTGAACCAATTAATTAGGACCTGAACACCACGTGATAATTACTGGCAGGTGTGTTTGATATGGGTAGCAACTGAAATCTGCATGAAGGTGGCTCTCTAGGAACAGGGTTGCCCACCCCTGATTTAGTTTATATAAGTGCTGCTGAAGTGGAGATTTATGGCCAAATAAAGGTGGAAAACAAGAGAAAATAGCCTTTAATAACATGTATTGTAACTGAAAACTACAGAAACAAATTTACAACTGAAAGCGTGGCAGTAGAAACAGTTAAAGCTAAATATCAGATGTACTTTATGTCATGTAAAATGTCCTTAAATGCAATCCAAGTCAGGTGTTTGAAGAAATTAGGGTTGCTACTTAAAATATAACCATACTCTGTATTTGTATTAGTTTTATATCATTGGTTTTTATATTTTACAAGCAGTACTTTGTGTTCCCAGTCTTCCGGTTTGCTCTACAATAAGGAAACAGGCTTGTAATGCTTGAAGTGCAAGTTTGACTTTATTTTATAATTCTCCTGCATGTACTGAGCTTTCTGGTGCAGATAATAAATGACACAGTCTTGTATATACTTTTAAAAATGCTGATTTTGTGGCCTGTTTTTAAGCTATCATTTTCTAGTTACTGACAATATGTAAGGTCCTTTTTTGCCATAAAATGATCTGATCTGAACAACATATGTTTATTTGTTATAATTGAAAGCACATGTATTGACATACCCTTGCATTAAACACCTTTGGGTAAAACAACTGTTTTACTTGAATATTAAAGCCTGATTTGTTCCTGTTTGTCTAGCTCCACAAACTTGGTTGTTACACCAGAACGAGAGTATAGTTTCTAGACAAATCAGCTTACTGTAGGAAAAATAACCCCAAATCTGAAAAAGTTGGGATAGTATGGAAAACTCAAATAAAGTAAATAAAGTTTTTCATTCATTTTCTTGTCGGCTTAGTCCCTTTATTAATTCGGGGTCCCCACAGTGAAATGAACCGCCAACTTATCCAGCACGTTTTTACGCAGCAGATGCCCTTCCAGCCGCAATCCAGGAAACATCCACAAACATTAATTCACACACACTCATACACTATGGACAATTTAGCTTACCCAATTCACCTGTACCGCATGTCTGTATCCCACGCGAACGCAGGGAGAACATGCAAACTCCACACAGAAACGCCAACTGAGCCGAGGATCGAACCAGCGACTTTCTTGCTATGAGGCAACAGCACTACTTACTGCGCCACTGCCTCGCCCCTCAAATAAAAAGTGATTTGTAAATTTTCTTTGACTGTACTTATTCATTTATTTTTGTTAATAAGTACGTGTCCCCATTTTGGTCCTTGTAACACATTTCAAAAAAAGTTGGAACAGTAAAGCGTTTGCCACTTTTCACAATAGGGCGTTTAAAGAATGAGGACACCAAGTGATGAAGTGTTTCAGGCGTAATTTTGTCCAATTTGTCCTGCAAACAAGTCTTCAAGGGTCATTGTTTTGAGCTGTTTACAATCATATATGCATTGATGATGATGAGTATGAAAAGCCCATCTGCTTGGTTACTTTATATGGCAAATGTTCTGTTTATGTGAACATGAAATTGAATGACATCTCTATCATAATCTGTAGGGTTTCTGTTTAGTTCATTCCCAGAACTTTTGGGCAAATACATTGTCAGTAAATACATGCATTTTTTTCCCCCATTGAAAAACTTGGAATAACATTGAAATAAATTGCTATAACTTGCTCAGGGAATTGTGGATGTAGACAAAATTTATTTTGGAAGTATAAAACATCATATCTTGTATTTCTAAAGAAAGAAAAACAAACTTCATAAGGTTTTGTTTGTAATAACTAGAAAATGCCACTTTTTTTTTAAAAATCGTTTCTGGAAAATTCTGGAATATTTACTGTCTGTTCATATGTTTTTGGACCAAAAAATATTTTAGACTGGACCTTTTACAGATTGAAACTTCAGGTTCTCTTGTTTAAAATAATATATGACACTTGAGGCTGACTGCTAAAATAAAAATAAAACTGCTTTTAAAAAAATAATATAATAAATATTATATTAATAAATAAATAATAAAAAATAATAATATAGGCCCATTAGGTGCCCACAAAATACCTCTAGGTCTTTAAGGGTTAATATAGAGTTGCTCACCATCTTTCCGGAAGATTTAGGAGAATGCTTGTCACAGTTTTTAAGTATTTTTCTAGAAGCTCATAGAGTGCATCCGGAAAGTATTCAAATCACTTCAATTTTTCCAACATTTTTATGGGCCAGCCTTATTCCAAAATGGATTTAATTCATTTATTTCCTCAGAATTCTACACACAATACACCATAATAACAATGTAAAAAAATAATAATCGTTGTAAATGTATTAAAAATAAAATACCTGAAAAATCACATGTACGTCTGTTTCACTGATCATTCTGGAGATGTTTCAGCAGCTTAACTGGAGTTCACCTGTGGTAAATTCAGTTGATTTGACATCATTTGAAAAGGTATACACCTGTCTATATAAGGTCCCAGGGTTGACAGTGCATGCCAAAGCACAAACCAAGCATGAAGACAAAGGAATTGTCTGTCGACCTCCAAGACAGGATTGTATTGAGGCACAAGGCTGGGGAATGTTACAGAAAAAAAACTTCTGCAGCTCTGAAAGTTCCAATGAGCACAGCGGCCTTCATTATCTGTAAGTGGAAGATGTTTGGAACCACCTCTTCCTAGAGCTGGCCGACCATCTCAGCTGAGTGATCGGGGGAGAAGGGCCTTAGTCAGGGAGGTGATCAGTAACCCGATGGTCACTCTGTTTAAGGTCTAGCGTTCTTCTGTGGAGAGAGGAAAACCTTACAGAAGGACACCTTCTGTGCAGCAATCCACCAATCAGGCCTGTTTGGCAGTGGCCAGGCGAAAGCCACTCCCCGTCTGAAATTTGCCAAAAGGCATCTAATGGACTCTTTAACCATGAGAAACAAAATTCTCTGGTGTGATGAGATTAAAATTGAACTCTTTGGAGTGAATGCAAGGCATTACATTTGGAGAAAACCAGGCAACACTCATCATCAGGCTAATACCATCCATTTCAGCAGCAAGAACTGGAAGACTAGTTAGGATAGAGGGAAAGATGAATGCAGCAATGTACAGAGATATACTGATAAAAAGCCTGCTTCAGAGTGCTCTAGACAGGGGCGAGAGTACATCTTTCAGCAGGACAGTCACCCAAAGCACACCATTAAAATATCAATGGAGTGGCTTCACAACAACTCGGTGAATGTCCTTGAGTGGCACAGCCAGAGCCCAGACCTCAATCCGATTGATCATTTCTGGAGAGATCTGAAAATGGCTGAACACCGTCGCTTCCCATCCAACCTGATAGAGCTTGAGAGGTACTTTAAAGAGGAATGGGCAAAAGTCCCCAAAGACAGGTGTGCCAAGCTTGTGGCATCATATTCAAAAAGACTTGAGGCTGTATTTGATGCCAAAGGTGCATCAACAAGGTATTGAGCAAAGGCTGTGAATACTTATGCACATGTGATTTTTCAGGTTTTTTATTTGTAATAAATTAGCAAAAATCTTTTTTCACATCGTCATTATGGGGTATTGTGTGTAGAATGTTGAGGAAATGAATGATTTGAATCCATTTTGGAATAAGGCTGTAGCATCCAAAATTGTGGAAAATTGAAGCGCTTTGAATACTTTCCAGATGCACTGTATTTAACAATGCTGCTAAAAAAATCCTAATCATAAAAAATACAAAACTACAAAATGCATATACCACTTTATTATCCCTTTGCTTTTTTCGTTTCAACAATAAAAATTAAAGTGCAAATCAGAACAAGAACACCATGCAGTGCATAACTTTTCAAATACAAATCACACGCATAGACAGGAAGTGACACGCACATGTGTAGAGTACAGTACAGACAAGTAGACACTGACAGGCAGAGGTCATTTCCCAGCGGGGCTCGGAAACAGACAGAAAACACATATTAACTTCATGTTTCACAGCAGGGAGGCTGCTATCACACACTCGACACTACATTGGAGAGACGGAGAGGTATTATATCCAGCACAAACGCCTCTGCACAAACGGAACCATAAAGTCCTGAAAGTCACTCTAAACAGGCCACCAGTTTCCATTAAACACAGCTGTAAAGCTGATAAATCAGACTTAAAGGGAGCTTATTGCTCAAAAATCACTATTATAATTGGTTTGTGTGTCAAACGTCTGTGAACATAATCTGCTTCTAATGGTAACCATTTATTAATTTAATGTTTTTGTAATCAAACTTTATACAAACAGCCTGCAGAAACACTTTGATTGACAATCTCTCCTTCAATAGCATAGGGCATTAGTTTTTGAATCTGCCACTATGCTGACTCACAGGCATTTGTAGCTCCAATCTGACTTGAATTTAAAGTGGCAGTCACCTAAATGGTTCAATTAGGATCAAAGGCTAAAAAGTACAGCTTTATTTAGTTACAAAACATTATTTCTGGGGTGTTTTGAGGTGAAACTTTACATACATACACTCTGGGGACATCAGAGACTTCTTTAATATTTGGTAAAAAGGGGTATAATAGGACCCCTTTAAAACTGTGGTAAGTGACTCTGCCTCTATATATGTCAAACACTAACACAAGGGTGTCGAGCATGCAAACATTCACACAATTCCCAGCCACTCATAGACAATGTCATGGCAAAATCCAGCAGCAGGGGGCGATAAACTCCCTAAACATTTTTTTTTTTTTGTCTATCTTTCTTGACACTGACTTTTGGTGCGACCTGGGGTGAACTTGGGATTTGTGTGAAAAATGTTAAGAATGCGTAAAGGCTTTAAGTTCTGGAAGGAATTTCAGACTGTGCAATGTTTTTCCATGAAATCATCACCATAATCCAGTCTAATCCTCTCCGGAAATGAGAAAAAAAAAATAAAATACTTGGACTGAACTGTTTAGAGGCATAATTTATCTATAGCATTTCATATAAATGATATGATCACATGATTTGTGCGAGAACTGTCCATCTTTCTGCGTTTACATTCAGTTAAGGCAAGACACTGCAGGTGAATAGGGTAAAAAAAAAATGATAATCCCATACTTCCTCTATTTATTACAAAATAATTCACTTTGATGAATGCATGATTCTTTTTTGAATTGTAAAACTGATACACTTGATAGCGCTTTGAAGTCAATAATTTTCTTAGGAAGTGTCACATACACAAGGCAAAAGTAATGTCTATTACTCCCTCTTTTATTTTTTTCTGTAAAGTTTTAAAAGTATTTTATAATTCTTTGACTTCACTTACAAGAAACAAGAAGGCTATAAAAACCTCTCTAATGATGGAAAACAAAAACTTTATGTACAATCTAATAATTCAAACATGATGGAGCCCCTTTTATTACTTACTAAGTAATACTACCATAGTAATTACTACTATGATGTAGTATAATGTAATATAATATAGTATTTTTTTTTATTTAATGTATGTTCTGCATCACTAAGTTTTGTGTGATTTTTTCATATGTTATCATATAATCCTGTATGTTTGTAGTTATATGTAGGCCCAACCAGAATTCTGCGTGCGCAGAATTCTGCAAATTTTTAGCCCAACATTAAGTCTGTTTATTTACTTGAGTAAATGTGTGTAAATCTATATTTATTCAGTTTTTTTATTACTTTTAGTAATATTGTTGACTAAAGTGAAAATGTTCATCTGATTTGTGTACAATGGAGTAATATTTTCTGTCTTTTACTGGATATATTATATGAAAAACTTGCTTTATTTACTAAATAAAGCAAATCTAATTGGATTTGCATTTTAAACATTAAATAAAAGTTAAACAGAAATTATTTATTTATTTTATATATTAAGGTTTTAGTTATGATACTCCCAAAATAATTCCGCAGAAATCCGCAGACTAAAATTCTTC